TTCCATTCAACCTTTTTATGCGAGTAAAGTACGTCGGATAAAAAATGTCATCACAGGCCTGATGGAAACAGAACATTTGTCAGTAAACTTTCCAAATGTCGACAAAACTAAATATGCTAGATAAGGTGGGATCTTTTTGTGTCGGTTAAATTAATAATGCGAGAAAAGGTGGTGGAAACGCTTTTATGTGCAAATATTGATATAATAACCATATCGAAGTAAACTTGGAGTCATTTCAATCAGTATAGATGAAGGGGAAGAGACAGGTTAAAGAATGATTTTTATGCCATGAGACAATTGAGACATGGATTGTGTATATGTGCCATTCAGAGGGTGAATGGGCAAGACAAAATATTTAAGTGTCTTTGAATGGGGTAGGTGCCAGGTGCACTGGTTTAAATGTGTCAAGAACTGCAATGCTGCTGGGTTTTTCATGCTTAAGTTTCCCGTGTGTATCAAGAATGGTCCACCACCCAAAGGACATCCAGCCAACTTGACACAACTGTGGGAAGCATTGGAGTCAACATGGGCCAGCATCCCTGTAACACTTGACACCTTGTAGAGTCCATACCCCGACGAATTGAGGCTGTTCTGAGGGCAAAAGGGGGTGCAACTCAATATTAGGATGGTGTTCCTAATGTTTTGTACACTCGGTGTATATTCAGTTGAAGTCGGAGGTTTACATACACCTTAGCCAAATACATTTAAACTCAGTTTTTCACAATTCCTGACATTTAATCCTAGTAAATATTCCCTGTCTTAGGTCATTTAGGATCACCACTTTATTTTAAGAATATGAAATGTCAGAATAATAGTAGAGATAATTATTTATTTCAGCTTTTATTTATTTCATCACATTCCCAGTGGGTCAGAAGCTTACATACACTCAATTAGTATTTGGTAGCATTGCCTTTAAATTGTTTAACTTGGGTCAAACCACAAGCTTCCCACAATAAGTTGGGTGAATTTTGGCCCACTCCTCCTGACAGAGCTGGTGTAACTGAGTCAGGTTTGTAGGCCTCCTTGCACGCAAACGCTTTTCAGTTCTGCCCACACATTTTCTATAGGATTGAGGTCAGGGCTTTGTGATGGCCACTCCAATACCTTGACTTTGTTGTCCTTAAGCCATTTTGCCACAACTTTGGAAGTATGCTTGGGGTATGCATTGTCCATTTGGAAGACCCATTTGCGACCAAGCTTTGACTTCCTGACTGATGTCTTGATATGTTGCTTCAATATATCCACATAATTTTCCTTCCTCATGAAGCCATCTATTTTGTGAAGTGCACCAGTCCCTCCTGCAGCAAAGCACCCCCATAGCATGATGCTGCCACCCCCGTGTTTCACGGTTGGGATGGTGTTCTTCGGCTTGCAAGCAACCCCCTTTTTCCTCCAAACATAACAATGGTCATTATGGCCAAACAGTTCTATTTTTGTTTCATCAGACCAGAGGACATTTCTCCAAAAAGTATGATCTTTGTCCCCATGTGCAGTTGCAAACCGTAGTCTGGCTTTTTTATGGCGGTTTTGGAGCAGTGGCTTCTTCCTTTCTGAGCAGCCTTTCAGGTTATGTCGATACAGGAATCGTTTTACTGTGGATATAGATACTTTTGTACCCGTTTCCTCCAGCATCTTCACAAGGTCCTTTGCTGTTGTTCTGGGATTGATTTGCACTTTTCGCACCAAAGTATGTTCATCTCTAGGAGACAGAACACGTCTCCTTCCTGAGCGGTATGACGGCTGTGTGGTCCCATGGTGTTTATACTTACATACTTTTGTTTGTACAGATGAACGTGGTACCTTCAGGTGTTTGGAAATTGCTCCCAAGGATGAACCAGACTTGTGGAGGTCTACAAATTTTTTTCTGAGGTCTTTGCTGATTTCTTTTGATTTTCCCATGATGTCAAGCAAAGGGGCACTGAGTTTGAAGGTAGATCTTGAAATACATCCACAGGTACACCTCCAATTGACTCAAATGATGTCAATTAGCCTATCAGAAGCTTCTAAAGCCATGACATCATTTTCTGGAATTTTCCAAGCTGTTTAAAGGCACAATCAACTTAGTGTATGTAAACTTCTGACCCACTGGAATTGTGATACAGTGAATTATAAAAATAAAAATAATCTGTCTGTAAACAATTGTTGGAAAAATTACTTGTATCATGCGCAAAGTAGATGTCCTAACCGACTTGCCAAAACTATAGTTTGTTAACAAGAAATGTGTGGAGTGGTTGAAAAACAAGTTTAAATGACTCCAACCTAAGTGTATGTAAACTTCCGACTTTAACTGTAGGGTTTATATACTATAGATATGATTTTAACTCATCTTTCACGTGACATGGTCAACAACAAGTTAACTATCTCTTTTTAACATCCATAATTACACATAGGCTCACAACCATGGACTAGTTGGGGATAGTGTAACTGCATGTCCTAACCTCTGATTAATACATGGACGGGTACACAAAGTCAAGTCAAAAACATACTGATACCTCAAATAGTATTTTCATTTTCATTATTCAAAAACCTACAGAGTGAAATAATACATTTACACATAAAGAACAAAACAAAATGTGTTTATCTGTTATAATTTTACTGTAGCACATCTTGGCAAGTTGTCACAAGCTATTCCAAACACCAGGCACCTACAGTATGGACCTCCAATGGACAACAGTTAATGCAACATGTAGAGGAGGCCTGTTCACAACATAGTTTCCATCCAACATTTTTATGCAAATAAAGTACATGTCGATTAAAAAAATATCACGACAGGCCTGATGGAAACAGAACATGTCGGTAAACTTTCCAAATGTCGACAAAACTAAATATGCTAGACAAGGTGGGATCTTTTTGTGTTTTGCTTTTATGTGCAAATATTGATATAATAACCATCATATCGAAGTAAACATGGAGTTATGTGATGACATGTGTGGTCCTCCCACTACGACTTGATGGACTTCGCAGGATGGTGAAAGTGCAAGGTGATGAGCTTGATGCACCTTTCCAGTAAATATCGAGGGTCTTATTCTGGTGACAACTAAAAATATTCTCGCTCTTATCCATAATAATCTCATCATGTTAACTAGCCTACCAGCACTGACAAAACTATCGGTAGAGTGGAAAATGCGATGGAAACACATTGAACTTTAGATTTTTATTCGGTACATTACTTTTTATGTGCACTACGTCATCACGCCCTGATTTTTATCCGCAACAAGTCTGTTTGGTGGAAACATACCACTGGTGGGGAAATGCGCATACTTTCTTTATGCAGATTTTTTAATATTCACATGAAACTCTGTCGCCAATTAGATGAAAACCTAGCTAATGACTCATGGTTGCATGGGACCATGGTGATTATACGGTCTTCCACTGAGCTGAAAAAACAACGACTAAACTGCTATTCTAAAGTCTTAAAAATGAGGACATTCTGGAAGAGAGAGAAAGAGAGAGACAGAGATAGAGAGAGAGCAAGGGAGAAAGGGAGAAAGCAAGGGAGAGACAGAGTTGGGTAGAGCATCAACAATGGTACTGTAGTGTGTCTGATAATATATTTCTAGCAAAAAAATAGTTAGCCCATAAAATATTTGTCTGAGTAGGCATTTATGTTACTTTGATTTTAAAGGGCGACTGCACTTCCTGATTTGGCCTTGTTTTAGATTTGGTTCATTAAGAAATGCTAGCGGCCATGACTGAATTCAAACGTGAGTTGGTTTCAGGGTGTGGTTTGATGTGGGTGTCTCGTGTGTGTTTGCAGGTGGGAAGAGTTAGACAAATTATTTTGGTAATTAGCTTCAGCTGACTGGTGTGCCACCGTGGCAATGTTGGTTGGCTTTGGATAGCCTATCTCTGGGGATAGTTAGGGACCGTCAATGAATTACACAATGTAAATGGGACACTATTTTCATGTTGCCCATCTTTTAGTTCTCTCATTAAATGCTTTAAATATTTGTATATGAATTTCTACAATTTATAATTTGTTTGAGGTTTTAAAGTTATTGAAATTTGGAGCTATTGACCTTTAAAATATTGTGGTCCCTAACTAGCCCCATAGGGATATCGAATGTCAAACCAAATTCACCATGGGCATTACGATCTGGGCTTAGGTGCTGCCAGCTGTGGGCAGGATTAAAATAAACCCAACCCAAGGAAAACTGTTACGGTACCCTTCATTCCATGACATACATTTTTTTCCTATCATCTCGTAAATCTGAATGAGACTAACTTTATGACCCAAATTATCCTATTCACATTTTGTAGTCAATTTTGACAGTAGAATAAATGTGTCTGACTCATATCAATGCCATATAGGCCATTTTCAAAACGAGAAATTGCTTTTTAGGGGCAGTCGCTCTTTAAGGGCATTGTGGACAGATGAAAATCTAATCAGGTTAAAACCCACTAAAATATTAACATTTCATAAAAGTTTCATCACACACATACACACAAAATCACAACAATCATATTAACCGACACACCTCGTCCACTGGAGAAGTGAAAAACTCCAAAACTGTATCAATCAAGGTAAAACTAGATACGACAAACAGAAAAACGTAAAGAAGACCAACCAAACTCAAGTTAAAACATTGACAGTTGTCTTCATCCTCCTTTGAACCTTGTAAGTGTAAGAAGAATATCTTTCACACATTTAGGGTTGAGCTGTAGCCAGAAAATAAAGTGTAGGTGCGAAGTGCACAAAAACACAGTGACTTCCTTTGTCCTGTCGAATCCCAGAATTCACACATACTGGCCCGTGTTTGGGAAATGCGCACACAGTAGCCTACCATCAGCTGCCTTGCCTTGCAGCATTTCTCTCAGTATACAGTAGCCTATCCCCTGGCTGCTCAAAAGGCCAAGTACATTCTTTGGAACACGGGGGTTCCCTCCCATTTCTCTACCTCTAAACAGGCGACAGGGGTCCTTCAAGGCAGAGTTCAAGTGAAAGTCCCCTTCACCTCTCCTCCTGCTCAGTCAGTCTGTCGATTGGGTTAGCCACACAGTCACAGAGCGGACACTTTAATGACATTAGAGCTGGCGGTGGTGTTGATGCTCGGGGCCTGTGGGCCGATGGGGGGTGGGGGGGGTCTGCGCTGGGGAGGTCCGTGGAGACCGTCCCCGTCAGTGGTGTCGGAGGGGGCCATGGGGATGCTGATGATCGCCGTGGTGATCTGACTGCCCTTGCAGTTGATCAGGCCCATCTCGTCTGTCTTCATGTTGAGACTGGAGCGACTGAGAGAAAGAGAGAGAGAGTGTGAGAGAAGAATGAGAGAGTAATGAGATAGCGACAGACACAGACAGACAGAGGGAGGGAGAGGGTGGAAAAATACTGTAAAAGTGCAGTCATTTTACAAACGGCCCAACAACTTGTTGTAACAAAAGCAATCGATACGATCCTACAGTGCCCTCTAGTGTTTTCTATGGGGACAGCATGTGTGCATGACACACATTTATTTTACCTTTATTTAACTAGGCAAGTCAGTTAAGAGCAAATTGTTATTTACAATGACGGCCTACACCGGCCAAACCCGGACGACGCTGGGCCACATCTGTGCTGAGTATGATGAAGTTGCCCTAAGACACTGATCTAAGATCAGTTTAGTATATTCATGGTAAGGGATTTCCTCCATAAGTTGATTGTAGATTTGTGTCAACTTCAACCTGTATCCATGTGCCTGGCTGCCTGCAGTCTCTAACCTGGTGGTATGCGGCAGCTTATCCCCACACTGGATGTGCAGGGCGCTGAGCTCCTGTAGTAGGCCCTGCTGATGGCTGGGCTGCAGGGGCAGGCTGGAGTTGGGCAGGGGGGAGTTCATCTTCCCCCGGCGGGTACAGCAGGTGCCTATGGGCCCGTCCTGGCTGGAGAAGGAGGGGCTGCGGGAGGTGTAGCTCTGGACCGTGGTCTCCAGGCAGTTCTGCTCATACAGCTGCTCATCCACAAACTCATGGGCCTGCGGAGGAGGAGAGGGATCAAAAGACAGCTGCTGCCGGGTTGATTATATATTCACACTATATAAGTGAATATATAAGGTTTATATAGTGATATAATAGTTGTTATCACTATATAAAATAAGACCTCAGAGGATGTGTTCCATGCTAGGTAACAGGTCAACCAGTGTTTCCCCTAGGATTGTTTTCAGCAGTGGTGGCAAGGTTAGCATGGGTGGGGTGCTCCAGGGGGCATCCTTTTGCTGGGGGGAGAGAACATTTTACGGTTTTAAAGCTAGTTTCCTGCAATTGTACACATTTTGCCATGGGGCTGAGAAACAAAAATCTGTTTTAAATAAAATGTTCTGCAATTCTACACAGTTTGCTGTGGCTTATGCCGTGTGCTTATGCTATCTGAGTGACTCAAACATAACAAAATCTATGGCCCCCGAGCATGACATTTTTGGAATTTTAGATTGTCCCTGCTGTCTACTTTTTATTTAGGTGATTATTAGTTCTCAAAGACGATCTTATTAAAACATATATATAGGTTAATTTACTTTTGTACATACTCAATATCTGGTTTTAGTCATTTAAGTTTATACAGAACACGTTTTACTATACTGAAAACTATTTTCAAGGGGGGGAAGGGAGTGGCGGCAATGATTTAGCAGTGGCACTTTGTCATCTCCTATCTCAATAACAACATTGGATAACAATACACTGCCCCTCTGTTCACAGTGGGAAGATGTCACACTTCCGCGTTGTCATGCTGCTTGTTGCGACTTGGCTACCTGCCAAAATGTTTACTTTTAATAACCGTTTAATCAAAACTCTGCATTTAACACATTTACCGACGTCTTCGATTTTTCTTCGCTCAACTATTTACATTCAACTTTTTCACACCGGACGCTTTAGTACCTGGATACCAACAAGCGAGCCAGGCTACCAAGAGCTCAACTCATACAATGCTCTCTATAGGACTACTAAAGGAATTTGCTTATTTCCAGCGTGTGAGTGTGACTCCAATTGTTGGCCAGTACATAATGTAACAGTATGTTTTGTATCCCCCATGACTACAGACACTGGGGACACGCTCTGAGAGGCTAGACCAAACGCTAACACACAGCCGGGCCGGTGCGTAGCAAGGAACAGCCGGCGACCTGCCACTGACAACCGACCCAGCCATCACACGCCCCCTGCGCTTCTCTCTCGCTCTCACATTCAATTAGAGACAGACAACAACACAGTTGTGCGAGTAGGGGCATCCGTGGATCATCTAAGTCCCCGGCGGCGCTGGGAAATGTTTGTTCCCTTGGACTGTCGGCGTTCAGCAGTGAAAACTCATTTGAATCTGCTGGGGACTCGGTTGCTATTAAGTGTATAATCTGCAACATGTTCGTAGTTGTCACGGGGAAAGGTCCGATGGATACCTTAATTTGTGAAAAATGTATTGAACTTGATGCAGCTAAAGAAAGGCTTTTTACTCTTCATGAAGAAATATAACATTTGACCAAGCGCCTTGAACTGAATAAGGATTCCATGAGACTATCGGCATCTTTAAATGCTTCCTATCAAAACATCCAAGAGGATCATAATGGGACCTTCCTGGACTATGATCCATTTACTCCACTGCACCCCTCTACTAGCTTGAACCAGAAAATGGCTGCTCACTGTTCGACTCCAGGTGAGCGTAAATGGATTAGTGTCGGAACCAGAAAGAAGGAGAAGAATTGTCCTCGGCGCGCCTGCCTTCTTCCTCCTGGCCTCGCAGTCAGCTTCGAGACACGGCAGAGGCCAGATCATTCCAGCTATTGTGATAGGGAGTTCGATGGTGAGGCATAGATCTGTACCTGGGGCAAAAGTTCAGGATATCACCAGGTTGCTTCCCGAGGCTGTGTGTCAGTCACCGGGGGCTGATACTGTCATGTTTCATGTGGGGTCGAATGACATTATGAAGGGCAGCTCAAAACAACTGAAGATGGATTTTAAAAAACTGATTGGGTCACTACCTGACACCAACAAACGCCCCATAATACCTGGCTCTCTGCCCTCCCTAAATCATGGCATTGAACGGTTCAGCAGACTTTTAGCCCTCCATAAATGGCTATGAGACTATTGCAGCTCTGTGGGTGTAACATTTATTGCCAATCTCTCCTGGCTCAAAGTGGAGGAGAGATTGACTTCATCACTACTTGTTTTTGTGAGAGGTATTGACATGTTGAATGCACCGAGCTGTCTGTTTGAACTACTGGCACACAGCTCGGACACCTATGCATTCCCCACAAGACATGCCACTAGAGGTCTCTTCACAGTCTCCAAGTCCAGAACAGACTATGGGAGGCGCACAGTACTACATAGAGCCATGACTACATGGAACTCTATTCCACATCAAGTAACTCATGCAAGCAGTAAAATTAGATTTAAAAAACCAGATAAAAATACACCTTATGGAACAGCGGGGACTGTGAAGCAACACAAACATAGACACATGCATACAAACACACAATAACATACGCACTATACACACACGTACACATGGATTTTGTGTTGTAGATATGTGGATTAGAGTAGGGGCCTGAGGGCACACACTTAATATGTTGTGAAATCTGTTGTGAATGTATTGTAATGTGTTTTAAATGTATAACTGCCTTCATTTTGCTGGACCGCATAATAAATACAAATACAAACATGTCTCCATTATTTGAATAATGAATAAGACAATTTTTTTATGAAATGGTTTGTACAGAAGAATCCTAATTTTTATGGTTAGAGTATGGTTACAGTATGGTTTTCTAGTCATTGAGTATGGTAAAGTATGGTTAGAGTATGGTTTTCTATTAATTGAGTATGGTAGAGTATGGTTTTCTAGTCATACAGATGTAGGATCTTAATTTAAGACAGTTTGCTACAGCAGGAAAAGAATCCCGCAGCAACAGGAAATGTGAATTATTATGTGGACATTTTTGTAGAGGTTGATACATTTTATGTAAGGTAACATCAAGTTTCGAAGTTGAAATTACAAACTTCAGAAGCCTTTTTAAACCTCAAATACACTACAAGTTGTATATTTCCTGCATCAGGGTGATCAAATTAAGATTCTACATCTGTAGAGCATGGTTGGACTAGAGACTCACAGTGGTCTTCTCCAGACAGTGCAATAGGTGGTGGTGTTGGCTCTCTAATAACGACATGCTCTTGTTGAGCGGCTGTTCCTCTTCCTCTGACCCCTTAGTGGACAAACAGAAAACACACAGAAATATAGAGAAAAAACATACAATGCAAACACTGTTAACAGTTACATACATAGTAGTAGAAGTGTGTTGGTTAGCTACTTGAGCTCCAGGTATTTTGTTTCATTATCAATATGGCTACCAAACAAACAGGTAAAGATTGTATGTGCCACTGATGTTTCAGTCTTTTCTGACAGAATTAAGTGGCTATAAAATGTTGCACATGTAGAATTTCATTGTAACGTCATGTGATGGCTGATTTAAATACCTCGTGGATATTGTTTTGCTTGTAAGGTTGTTGCTTCAGAGAGTTGAAAAGGAGAGAAGAAGCAGACAAAGAAACAAAAAAAGCAGAAAGTGCTTTACTTATCTGGACAATTCTCTACATTCCTTTCATGAATTACTAGTAAAAAAAAAAAAAATTGGACTTGATTCAATTTCAACTGAACAAAATTGTATCTATCATTTTTAACTGCTTTCAACAACAATCACATACAACACATTTTAAAAACAATATGCAGACACACCTCCCGTTTGCAACAAATGCTGCTAGGGACAACATTGGAACAGCTGGAAATACTTTCATCAACAGAGATCTGTTCCATTTACTGTCATTCAAACTACACACAGTCAGTTCAACGGTGCACAGTAACACAGTGTTTGATGCTTCTGAATGATTACTCTTTGAAGGTTTTTCAGTTGGATGAATTCATCTGGAAGTATAGCCTATCTCCTGTGAGAGGGGTACACTACATGACCAAAAGTATGTGGACACCTGCTGGTCAAATATCTCATTCCAAAATCATTGGCATTAATATGGAGTTGGTCCCCCCTTTGCTGCTATAACAGCCTCCACTCTTCTGGGAAGGTTTTCCACTAGATGTTTTTGCGGGGACTTGCTTCCATTCAGCCACAATAGCAATAGTGAGGTTGGGCACTGATGTTGGGCGATTAGGACTGGCTCGTCCTCTGCGTTCCAATTTATTCCAAAGGTGTTCGATGGGGTTGAGGTCAGGGCTCTGTGCAGTCCAGTCAAGTTCTTCCACAGCGATCTCGACAAACCATTTCTGTATGGACCTCGCTTTGTGCACGGGGTCAATGTCATGCTGGAACAGGAAAGGGCCTTCCCCAAACTGTTGCCACAAAGTTGGAATCACAGAATCATCTAGAATGTCATTGTATTCTGTAGTGTTAAGATTTCCCTTCACTGGAACTAAGGGGCCTAGCCCGGAACATGAAAAACAGCCCCAGACCATTATTCCTCCTCCAACAAACTTTACAGTTGGCACTACGCATTAGGGCAGGTAGTGTTCTCCTGGCATCCGCCAAACCCAGATTCGTCCATTGGACTGCCAGATGGTGAAGCGTGAATCATCACTCCAGAGAACACGTTTCCACTGCTCCAGAGTCCAATGGCGGAGACACCACTCCAGCCGACGCTTGGCATTGCGCATGGTGATCTTAGGTTTGTGTGCGGCTGCTCGGCCATGGAAAGCCATTCCATGAAGCTCCTGACGAACAGTTATTGTGCTGACATTGCTTCCAGAAGCAGTTTGGAACTCGGTAGTGAGTGTTGCAACTGAGGACAGACGATTTTTACGCACTACGCGCTTCAGCACTCGGCGGTCCCGTTCTGTGAGCTTGTGTGGCATACCACTTCGCAGCTGAGCCGTTGTTGCTCCTAGACATTTCCACTTCATAACAACAGCAGTTAAAGTTGACTGAGGCAGCTCTAGCAGGGCAGACATTTGAGGAACTGACTTGTTGGAAAGGTGGCATCCTATGATGGTGCCACGTTGAAATTCACTGAGCTCTTCAGTAAGGCCATTCTACTGCCAATGTTTGTCTATAGAGATTGCATGGCCTGTGTGCTCGGTTTTATACACCTGTCAGCAATGGGTGTGGCTGAAATAGCTGAATCCACTATATATACAGTGGGGGGAAAAAGTATTTAGTCAGCCACCAATTGTGCAAGTTCTCCCACTTAAAAAGATGAGAGAGGCCTGTAATTTTCATCATAGGTACACGTCAACTATGACAGACAAATTGAGATGTTTTTTTTTCCTGAAAATCACATTGTAGGATTTTTAATGAATTTATTTGCAAACTATGGTGGAAAATAAGTATTTGGTCACCTACAAACAAGCAAGATTTCTGGCTCTCACAGACCTGTAACTTCTTCTTTAAGAGGCTCCTCTGTCCTCCACTCGTTTCCTGTATTAATGGCACCTGTTTGAACTTGTTATCAGTATAAAAGACACCTGTCCACAACCTCAAACAGTCACACTCCAAACTCCACTATGGCCAAGACCAAAGAGCTGTCAAAGGACACCAGAAACAAAATTGTAGACCTGCACCAGGCTGGGAAGACTGAATCTGCAATAGGTAAGCAGCTTGGTTTGAAGAAATCAACTGTGGGAGCAATTATTAGGAAATGGAAGACATACAAGACCACTGATAATCTCCCTCGATCTGGTGCTCCACGCAAGATCTCACCCCGTAGGGTCAAAATGATCACAAGAACGGTGAGCAAAAATCCCAGAACCACACGGGGGGACCTAGTGAATGACCTGCAGAGAGCTGGGACCAAAGTAACAAAGCCTACCATCAGTAACACACTACGCCGCCAGGGACTCAAATCCTGCAGTGCCAGACGTGTCCCCCTGCTTAAGCCAGTACATGTCCAGGCCAGTCTGAAGTTTGCTAGAGTGCATTTGGATGATCCAGAAGAGGATTGGGAGAATGTCATATGGTCAGATGAAACCAAAATATAACTTTTTGGTAAAAACTCAACTCGTCGTGTTTGGAGGACAAAGAATGCTGAGTTGCATCCAAAGAACACCATACCTACTGTGAAGCATGGGGGTGGAAACATCATGCTTTGGGGCTGTTTTTCTGCAAAGGGACCAGGACGACTGATCCGTGTAAAGGAAAGAATGAATGGGGCCATGTATCGTGAGATTTTGAGTGAAAACCTCCTTCCATCAGCAAGGGCATTGAAGATGAAACGTGGCTGGGTCTAGCATGACAATGATCCCAAACACACCGCCCGGGCAACTAAGGAGTGGCTTCGTAAGAAGCATTTCAAGGTCCTGGAGTGGCCTAGCCAGTCTCCAGATCTCAACCCCATAGAAAATCTTTGGAGGGAGTTGAAAGTCTGTGTTGCCCAGCGACAGCCCCAAAACATCACTGCTCTAGAGGAGATCTGCATGGAGGAATGGGCCAAAATACCAGCAACAGTGTGTGAAAACCTTGTGAAGACTTACAGAAAACGTTTGACCTGTGTCATTGCCAACAAAGGGTATATAACAAAGTATTGAGAAACTTTTGTTATTGACCAAATACTTATTTTCCACCATAATTTGCAAATAAATTCATTAAAAATCCTACAATGAGATTTTCTGGATTTTTTCCCCTCATTTTGTCTGTCATAGTTGACGTGTACCTATGATGAAAATTACAGGCCTCTCTCATCTTTTTAAGTGGGAGAACATGCACAATTGGTGGCTGACTAAATACTTTTTTCCCCCACTGTATATAGTGTATTTTTGCCTGTTGATGTGTGGGGGTAGTCAGAAACAAATAACCAAGAAGACCTAACGGAGGTTGTCATCTGACTGAGAATAACTACAAGGGGAGAAAATATTCCCAACTCCGTAGAGGACAGAGTTAGCTACACTGTAAAAAAGCCTTGACCAATTGCTTAATCAGCGTTATTCTGTGAGTTTAGTGGACTTCAAAAAGACAAGAATTTGAGCTAATTTGTTTACTCAACAGTCTTCTCGAAGTGAGCTGAATTTAAAGAAGCTTGTTGAGTAACAGTTGGTTTTTCAGAATTGTTTGTTTCAATACCTGAAATATCTTATTCTACACAAACATAAATGCCACACTTAAAACATTTTTTTTTTACTAATCCAATCTGTAGGTAGTTGGATTTATTGCACCTGTTACTGAGATGGCTGTTCCAGTTTATATGATTTAGGTAGTCTCAATAATTAATTTTCCCCGGCAATCATTCTGAATGCAGGTCGCGGGTGATTAAAAGTTCAAATGTTTGGATATCCTCACTCTGGCTGGATTCCAATTGGAATTACACATCACTTTGCAAGCCAGCATAATGTGACTTGCAGGCTTGATGTGGCCTGTAAATCAGGAGTTTCAGACTACTGTGTTAGGGTGTAACTAGGCCCTCAAAGAAAGGCCTTATGATACATGTAATGTATTGTCATAAAGACTTTAATTTGAAAGATAACATATTCACTTAGACACTCACTTGGTGAAGGCTACAGTACTGAACACCAATGAATACAACAACCATGTTGCTAACAATCAGTCATTGGTGGTAACTACAATTCAATCGAAAGGCAAGGCACTCTGTGAAATATGCAAATAAGGTTAAATAAATTCTCAAGTTGAATTGTATGTTCACTCAACCGAAAATTCAAAGTTGATTGAACATACAATTTAACTTGAGAATGCATGTTGGTTCAGCTATATGTCCAAATGTTGAGCAAACTCACAATCCTATTGGAGCTGGTTGACTTAAAATTGTACGTTGAATCAACATCTTTTACAGTGCAATTCTTCGGTCAGATATGTGGGCCCACGCAGCCCTAGCTTTCTGCAGTGACATTAACATAATTATAAGTGCCAGAGCACTGGCAGACTCATCACAGCCCTGGTAAAACCACTGACTAAATTAAGCCTCTGAATGCTTTTTTGACACTTCCAGAATTCCCATGGACACTCAGCTCCAAGTCTTTTACAGAGTAGATGTGAATGGAATTCATCCCGTGACGCAATTTAACAGACTGTTGCTGTGAGCATGTCAGTCACGTCAGTCTGTATGGATGTGTGCAATTTGTTATTGTAATCGATCCACCACGCCATTAATATAGAAGACGTGAAGCAATATGGGAGGTCTGTCCATAAACACCTGCTCTGACGAGCCTCATCTCTTAATTCATCCCACAACATGAATACTAATACCTGATAATTGATAGCGTCGTTTTGAGCCATTTGCTAATGGAATATTTCAATGTAATATCCAGCACAATCATGGACAAAAATGAAGC